GAGAGAATACTGTAGTCGCAAAGATCAACAAGTACAAGATAAAAGTATTATAACGAAGAAATATGATAAGCAAGGAAGAACAGTGAAAGAAAATGAACGGGATAAAAAACAACGGATAAGAAAAGACGAATAACTACAATGAATAAATAAATAAACGTCGATTAAATAGTAGAAACTAAATTCAGGATGAGATTTCAGCTAGGAGAAAGATTTCTGGAGAGCTTAATTCCTCGATACACAAACTACATCAGATGTATTAACGAGGGCTGATTGGCATATCATAAGACCGGCAGTGACAGTTTCACGGCCTAACAACTTCACATAATTGCTGTCAGTGCGGTTTGGTTTGTCAGTAACATGCTTCACACTAACAGAATGTTCTTCATGTCCATCCTTGTAACTGGCACGTGGTCCTAGATGAGTTTTATCACGTCCTTTTTCATATCAGTGTCAATCTTTCGACTGTCTTTACAGTCTGCTTTTAAGCAGGCCGTTTGTTTTAAACTGTGCTTTTATCTTGTATCTGTTCATGTATATATGACGACGATCTCTTCTATGTACATTATTAATTTCTGTTGAAGAAAGGACATCGTTGTGGGTTCCGAAAGCTTCACTCACTTTCCACGCTGTTAACCGTCTACTGCTTGATTAATTATCATACCAGTCTGTTAATATGTTTTCGAAATGAGTATATGACACGAGAACGTTTGTACTGGCTGGCATCTGATCTTAAAATACTTACAAAAATTATGATTAGTTTATTGTTTAGCGTGTCGCGTTGCTGTGCATTTGCGTACAGCATGCAACGCGTCGCGTTTGGAAAAGCCTACGGTGCAGAGGCAGGGTAAATTAATGACTATATTAAATGAATGTTTTGTTTTTTTACTTATGTTGATATTTTAACGACATTGAACGAATCGCGCTAGACAAACCTGATAGTCTGAAACAGGGAAAAATGAATTCTTTTACTGATATTAAATGGTTTAAATGACTGTTTTATACTATGTATGAGAGTACACTGTTGATAACCTAGCGTTACATTTCCATTAAATGGACTTAAAATTTTACATTCAACTTTGACAGTAAATGTACTAATATTGGAATCAGTATCACTTTTGTATTTTCGTATTAAGCTTTTTGTATTTGGTATATTTTTAGTTTGTTATTAAATATGCAGCTAGATTCTTTTGATGGTAAGAATCATCTAACTTACGTGAGGCGTATTATATGAGAAAAAAAATTATGATGTTTTGAGTTCAGCCGAAGTGAACCATATCGTAATTATCTACATGGTCTTAGATATTTTATATTTAATATCTTTGTGAGTATATTTGGCCGTATATATGTGTAATTCGTTGTCATAATGAATCACATATAGCTCGAAACAAATCTTCGGTATAACGAAAGATTTGCGAAGTAATTCCGACTAAGATGCATGAAAATAGTCGATTTAATACCCCACATTATAAGATAATATGATATTCATTCATCTGCTGTTTACTGGATTTGCATGTAAGTTGGGCCATTGAAAAAGCTTTCTGAAGCCGTTATCCCGTACCCCAAAGCGAATCACTTCCTCTGATTCATAAACATTAAACCAGCAGGGTATTTTTTGGCATACGGCGGTGCTCTTCTCTAGCTGAGGTTTGAAACTGATGACTTAAAACTTTAATGGCTTGGGCTGAATAAGGGTCGAAAGCATATGACAGCTATTGCTTTGTTAGCTCCATCACTCGATGTGATCCCTTGCGATATTTTTTATTCTTCAGATAAATTATCCCTGGTGTTTTGGCAGAGTTATCTGGTGTGTTTTCTCTAAATGTTGATAACTGTTTAGGACTGTCTCCGAACCCGGTACAGTACGTTGTGCAGCAGTCACCAGTTGCATACCCACCACCTGGAGCGAGTTGTCCACCTTATGAAAAATTAAGAATATCTAACCCTGCTATGACGGGGCCGCAGCCAGCTGCTGCTGTTCAGCGATCAGTGTCCTATGCGACGGCTGATCCATCGACCTTACCAAGCTATCAGAATATTTATAATTTCTCTCGTCCCGGAATGCCCTTTGCTCCCCCTCCACCTCAAAACGTTGCGACAGCTCAACAGCAATATCCACCGCCTCAAGGGTTACAGTTTGCTGAAGTAGTCAGTCGTCAGATGACGGCCTATCCGCCATCAGGGGATTTCGTGGCAGCCGACAACTTTCGCGGTCCCAGTGCCGCACATTACGTCTACTCGGTTCCTGCGTACATGCCGATGACAGATAATCCCCAGCAGATGTTTTCTCACCCGGACGCATTTATGCATATGCCTCTGAATGGACCAGTCATGGCGATGGCAGCTGCGGCGAATCAGACGGTGCCACCACAGTACGGTAATGCTGGAGATGTGCAAATCCAAAACACTAACCAGGCAAATGATATGCATGCTGGAGCTAACGTACAGAAATCAGTACCGGAAGCGCAGCTTATATCTTTCGACTGAAGTTCGCCCCACCGTTTCAGCTGCTGTCATTGACTGGCTAGTGATCCAGCTATTTATCTGATTTCTATTTATTTTAAATGTTTTTGTTATACAGTTCATTTTGCATGAATGGATATTCGAAATAAATTTGATTTCGTACTAACTAGTTCCTTTTTATTACATTCTTGTCTGTAGAAAAAGTAGCAGTTCTGTACAGAAAGCAGAAAAAACAGTAGCAGTTCCATCGTTGATGGTCTGTAGCTCTGTTCCATAGCTTAGAGATGTTAATCATTTAAGAAGCCTGACGCTGTTGGTGAGAAACCTACTTTGCAGAAGGAAAAGCAGCGGTTTCCTATCGAAAGGATGTCATATCTAGTGGAATAAGCTGCAGTGACTATAGTGCTGTAACCGCAAACAACCCGTCTTCTGTATGTAAGCGACTGCGCAGAGCACATGGATATAGCAAATGCACAGACGAGCAGCTATTTGACATTCCAGTCGATCATTCCTGGGTGTTTCCCGTTTGTATGTAGGCATGTCATGACTGCTATGCTGTTTGCCTCCGGCTTTTTGCATTTCCTCAAACGAGTTGTCAGTATCCAAGTTTGACTCTTGTACTGAGAGACTCGGCGAAGATGTATACTCAGACCCACGAGGTATACAATGCATTATCTTCTGTGGTGAAACAGAATTAGTACATCGTGCTCCCAACATGCGCAACTGTTTAGAACATGGGTTCGCACCTCTGTGACATACATCGGTTCAGAATAGTTACATTAAAAATCTTCGGTAAGCTAATCATACACATTTTTGATATTTTATCTCATTTC